ATCTTCCCACATCGTGATGTAGACATGTGGGGGCGTGTTAGAACGAGCCGTTTTAGGTAGGCGTGGCTGACTCTTAACTTTTATAAAGAATATCTCTTTGGATTTGAGACTTTAGTCTTTGCAACTTTACAGATCTTCTTTATGCACCAAGATCTTGTAACTTGGTAAGGAAAAATTGAAATCGCAATTCAGTATTTACACTGAAGCTCGCCGGCGGCTACGGTAAGGGGCGTGACATTTCCCGACCAGGCGCCGAGTGGTGCCAATCACAACACACACTGGCCCAGCTAACCAATCACGTATTTCAGAAGGCGGGCCTTCATTTGATACAGGAACTATTTGAGCCGTTCATACCAGATTGGGGAGAGAGGTGTTGTAATAATGTAAAAAATATGAAAAATAATGTGTTTTTCGAACAACCTAGTATGAGAGCCTGTTCTAGTACACCCCCAAAACAAAATCAAGACTTTGTAAAAGAGCATAATAGGACCCCTTTAAGCAGGGCACAGTTACTGTGCACGTTTTAGTATGGAGATAACATAAAATGCCTGGTATTTGAATGAAGCTAACCATTATTGCTAATGACCAGCAGGATTAATTAGCGCGAGTAGGATGGGCAGCTCGGAGCAGTCTCTCCCTCATTAATCCGCTTGCAGGTGTTCTCCTGCCACTCTCTCCCCCTCTGTCTGCACATGGAGAAGATCGAAGAGAAGCCAACTCACACGAGTTCAATCTTATTAGTCCACCGCAGAAATCACATCCTTGAAAGAACCTCCAGTGGAGGACAGCTGTAGATAAGAGGTGCATGAGACTCTGAAACATAAAGAAATGAGGAAATTGTGCAAACTGGGAGAAATTTTCTGTAAAGGGGGTATCTTCTATGCTGAGAGACCAATGAATGATGCATCTTAGATACTTTTTTAAAGGTTTGTTTTCAGCACATTTTCTCCAAGCCAAATCAACATATTGTAATATTTTTGTCATTGCCCGAATACAAGCAATGAGTTGAACACAATTGCATACTCAACATCAAAAAAATTATAATTCTATTATTGATTGTAAATACAGCAGGGAAGATCACTGATCTATGACTAATACTAATTTGGAGCTGTATTTAGTAGGGGAGACTGGGGAGTGTTGCCACAGAGTGATTTGCAACACCATCGGTTTAACCAATTAGAATTGAGCTACAGGGGTGAAATCACTATCACACATGACCACCCACCATGAGGTGAGAGCAGCAGTTGGAAGACTGTTTGTGAAGTAAATTCCTACATCTGGTTTTCTAATTTAATAAATAGCATCCAATCCTTTCATACATAAAATAATAATAATAATTAAGAAAAAAATGCAATATCACAGAAGATGGAAAAACACTACTTTGTAACACTACTTTCCGGTGTGTTTCTACAGCACCCACAAAGATGCTGTAAACAAAAAATGGGACAATTTTATTTGTGGTTTTGAATTAAAGTTTTTTTTCTATATGCTTTACCATATAGATTTTAAATAATTATAATTAGCTAATTCAAATGATTTTAAATAATGATTTATTTATTTTTCTTGATTACCATACAATTCATGTAAATAAAAGACTAGTGGAGTATGTTTTAAAAGAAAATATTGTTTTAGTCTTTCTACTATAAAAATGTATGTTTAATTCAGTGTTATTATCTATTTCTTTGTAATTAATTGTGAAATTGTGGAGTGAAAATGGATAATTTTTTCAGTGTACACAATTTTAACTGATGTCCAGGTTTTCATTTAAAGAGGTCATATGTTGCTAAAAATAACATTATTTTGTGTATTTGGTGTAATG